TGGCTGGTGGGTTTGAACCGCCAGCCGTCTGGTTAGCAGGCAAGTGTCTTAGCCACTATGCTACCAGAGCTCCTAGAGCTCCCGTAGCCTCCCCTTATTCAAGCATTGCCAGACCTTACCACCCCTGCCCCCTACCGCCACAGGATGAGGGGCTAGACTCTTGAGTCTCCCCTCATCGAGTCCGGCCCCAGCCTACCTCTCGACCTCAGGTTGTGCTTTTATTTATCAGCCTAGCTCAGAAACTTAATACAACAAGCTTATGGAATAAATGCAAGGGCAGCTCATCTTTCTTCCCCAGCAAGAAGAGGTGCAGATTTGGGGTAGGTGGTGGAAAGCACAGTGGTCAGTGGGAAGAGGTGTGGGGGCGGGAAGCAGGCAGCCTGGCTCAGCTGCTGCCTCCAGCAGCACCTGGCCCGGGAACCGTGGGACGTCTTGGAACAGCTTAGCCTTTTCTCAGAGCTGCAGGGGTCCGACCAGCCTCTCAGGGCTGCAGGGGTCCGACCAGCCTCTCAGGGCTGCAGGGGTCCGACCAGCCTCTCAGGGCTGTCGGGAGGATCCTCTGACGGTCCTGGCTCCTGCTCAGCCCGCAGTAGTTGGTGGTTATTGTGAAGGACCCCAGCTCATGGCTGCATTTATGAGCAGGTCTTCCACCGCCTGCCTCGGCCGGCAGCCAGTCATGGAATGTTGTTCCCTGGATGTTGCTCAGGGTGGGGGCATCATCAAATCTTTTTTCCTCACGGAATTGTCCTTGTGATCCTCTTTGGTCCCAGTTCTAGTTGTATCTTCTTCAAACCACTGCCATTTCCGCCCCTTCGGCCTACTTTTCCAGCCTTAGCTTGCCTTACATGTCTTCTGCCTGATCCACATTCCATACTTTGCCGTGTCCCTTCATCTCACTCCCTCCTACCTTCTACACCTAAACCCCCCCTTATCTTTTCCACACCTAAACCCCTCCCACCTTCCACGTCTCACACCCTCCACCACCTTCTATACCTAATACCTTCCTGTCTGGTACTCCTGACCCCTCCCCCACCTTCTGTACCCCAACCAGCTCCCTCCACTCTGAATTCTTCCTTTCCTTTTTCCCCAGTACACTCTGTCCATCTATTTTGCCAGTAATTTGGGGGCCTGGAGGACACAGATATGTATTTTCTCTGTACAGGGCAGCAGAGAGCCCCACCCAGCGTGGCTATTCAGTGCAGGGCTTGTGAATCGAGTGGACCTTTTAAAAGAACGTGACTCTGAAGTGTGAGATTAGCACACCCATGGTGTTCATCTCAGAAAGAGCTGGAAAAGTGTCCAGCTTTCCAGACCCCCGGTGCTCTGGCCCCCAGCCCCTCCTCCATCCTTGTCTGGGAGCTGAGAGGTGGGTGGGTCCCCTTCCCAGGGACTAAAGCCCCCACCCTCACCATGACCTGCCTGACATTCCCGAGTGAGGGGCCAGGGTGAGCTAGGGAAGAAGAGGCAAGCACCATCTCTGGCCAGGTAGAGTGGGCCATGCTGTGTAAGGAAGTAAACTTGGTGAGAAGTAGAGGAGGGGAAAGCCAGCCCCAGAGTCCTTGCCCTCGGCAGCAAGAATCAGCAGTGCGTGACGGAGCTTGCAGGGCACAGCCGTCCGTCCGTCTAGTCGGCATGCTTAGCTTCACGGACCTGATGGCGGAGGCCCAGTGTGAGCTGGCAGCTCGGCTAGAGGGTGAGACAGCACTCCCCCAGGCAGATGGCTTAGCTCCTTCAGTTCTGCCTTCCTCACTCCTTTGTCACCCCACCCTCAGGCTGAGAGGGCAGTAGCCACATACATCAGCACATCTGCGCAGCAGTTAGCAGGTGGAACTGTAATAAACGTGCTTGATGGAAATGAAACAAACCAGGAATAACACATCATAGATGAAAAATGGCTTCTCCTGTCTGTTTCTAGAACATAGCCAGGCATGTTCTAGAACCAGCCCCCAACTGGTGTTCCTCACATTGAAGAAAAGGGTCCAGTTAAGACACGTGGTTCTGTTTCAGTTCAGAACGTTTCCTGAGAGCCTACTGTGTGCTGAGCGGGGGAGAAAGTGAGGAAAGGGAGAGAAGTGTGGCTGACGGGAGCTGAGATAGTGCGCCCTCCCTCAAGGAGTTGAGAATGGCGAGTGTGTGGGTGAGCGGGCAGCCAGCTAGAGGTAGAGTCCAGCTGGAGCCAGAGTAGGGGTGGTACTGGATGGGACGAGGGCCAGATGTGCAGGGGAAGGTCTGATGGGAAAGCTGGGGCCAAAGCAGTTGGGGGTGTCTGGGCAGTGGTGAGGGCTGGGTGAGAAAGGGCTTCTCACTCACTATGGTGAGGGTGATGCGCTGTGGAGAGGTGAGGAGGAAGTCTCTGGAGCCATGGTGGGGGAGGGGCTGGAAAATGGTGAGGACAGAGTTAAGCAGCTCAATGAGCCATCTAGAAAGACATCTTTCCAGGTCTCTTTACCTCATGCTGCCAGGGAGTCTTACAGCTTCACTGTATCCTCTTGGTCCCTTAAAGAGGCCTTGACCAGTATCTCATCTTCTTCTTTTACTTTCATTGTGGTGAAAAGATACACAGCAAGACATTCGTCAACATAACAACTTCCCCGTTTACAGCTCAGGGACATGATGACATTTTTCATATTGTGCCACCATTACTGCTGTCTTTTTCCAAAATACTCGCCACCATCAGCATAAACTCAATGTCCCGCAAACAAAAGCTTCCCCTTTCCCCGCTTCCTCCTGCCCCTGGTAGCCACTAATAACCTTTGGTTTCTATGTGTGTATATATATATATATATATATATATATATATATATGTATGTATGTATTTTTTTTTTTTTTTTTTCAATGTATCTAGGAATTGACCAATGTATTTTCGGTCCTTCCCTTAGGTTTGGGTTTGTACAAGATAAATATTCAGCCTCTGCTTTTAACTTTCCTGCTGAGAACAAGCCTCAGTACATCCATGTTACAGGTGAGGAGCTCTCAGGCAATAAGTCTGGGAGGTGGCCTCTGAGGGGAGCGCGAGGCCTGGGGGGCCTGGCCTGGACCACGGGTAGCTCCTTCCCTTGCCTCGAGCCTGTAGTCGCAGAGCCACCTTGCCTCCTCCCGGCGCCTTCCCCACACCTGTGCCTTAGTGCCTCTCCTCTGCCTTCAGGAACAGTCTTTCTGCAGCTCCCCTACTCCAAGCGGAAGTTCTCAGGGCAGCAGCGGCGGCGGCGGAACTCCACCAGCTCCTCCAGCCAGAACATGTTCTGTGAGGAGCGCGTTGGCTACAACTGGGCTTACAACACCATGCTGACCAAGACGTGGCGTTCTAGCGCCACGGGGGACGAGAAGTTTGCTGACAGGCTGCTGAAGGACTTCACGGACTTCTGTGTCAACCGAGACAACCGGCTGGTCACATTCTGGATGAATTGCCTGGAGAAGATGCATGCCAGTGCCCCGTGAAGCCGGCTGCTCGGGGGCTGGAGGTGGGGTGCTGGCCGTGCCCGGGCTGGGGGCGAGCAGGTGAGCCCTCACCTTCAAACTCGAATGGAGGATTTGGTTTTGCTATTGATATTCAATAGGATCCAGTCAGGCTCTGAGCGTCACGCGTCAGTTTGCTGCTGTTGATGTGCGGGGGGCCACTGCTTTTTGGTCCCCCTACCACCCACAAATGTTCCTCTACTCGAGGAGAAAGATTCTGGAAGCAGCTGCTGCCGCTGCCACCACCCAGATCCCATCACTGTGCACTGAGAGCGAGTGGGAGGCACAGATTGTCTGTGGGAACGCCTCAGCAGCTGGGAGGGACAGGTGGCCGCCACGGGTGCCCGCAGAGAGGAACAGCTCCTGTGAGCTTTCTTACCCTCCGCTGTCTGCGGGATGTTGAGAGCAGGACCTGCTGTATCCCACCTAGCAGTGGGCACAGGTGTCAGATGAACTTGTGAAATAATGTACCATAGGCTCACACCAACTGTATATACTTGTAAATATCAAATGGGAATAAAGCTCTTTGCACAACACCTGTTCCTAGCCTGATTGTCCCTCACAGCAGCGGCCACACGCTTGTCTGGCAGTTCCACGGAAATAGCTACAGACGGTATGGAGTACTTTGGAATTTACTGACCTGGGGTCTGCCTTCAGTGAGCTTACGAAAAACGTCATCTCCCAGGCCCTCAGGCAGGAGCAAGCATGATTTGGGTTGGGACCGGAAGCAGATAGCACTACACTGCAGGTAACTGCAGACGTGCTCTGTTTGGGGTGCATCTTGCTCAGAGTCGTGGCATTCTGAGAAAACCGGAGGGGAGACAGGACATGGCCAGACTTCGTCTTACCTACATGTTGTAAGTCCCATTGCTCAATGGGATAAAACCCAATATGGTGCTCAGCTTCAGTGCCCTGCCCCTAACCTGCCCAACAGCAAGGGCCTGACAGTTACCACCATCTCTTCCTCCTCCATCTCCCTTGGTTAAGTGAATCACAAGCATTGTTGATTCTACACCTCAGTAGCTTGCAAACTGTCATTTGTTTCCAGGTCCACCACCACCACGCGGCCCACCCTCCATCAGCCTTCCCTTGCACGCCAGGAGAACTTCCCAGCTGGTCGTTGTGTGCCTGCTTTCATGCCGGGCCATCCACTTGGCAGCCAGCCAAGTGCTTTTTAAAAGCCAGCTGGTGGTGGTGGTTATTGTTAGGTGCTGTTCCGTTGTCTCCAGCTCACGATGACCTTATCTGCAGCAGACCCAAACATTGCCTGTCTCTGCACCGTCTTCAATCTGTGCCTACCACTTACTTAGAGCTCTTTGGTGAGTGGAACTTCAAAACTCCTAGACACAACCCAGGTGGCCCTGCGCCATCTATTCCCAGACTGCTTCTCCAGCCACACTGGCCCTGCGCTGTCCCTGAACATCGCAGACTCTCACCGGCTCAGTATCTCTTCCTCATCGGCTGTCAGCTCTTGGCTCAAATGTCTCTTCTTCAGAAGCAGAATTGGGTATCTGTTAGATCTTCCCAGCACACTTTGGCTTCCCTGACGTTCACAGCTTACCTGTTCTGTTCCTCTTTCTGTCCCTCAGTGGTAGAACAATAGTACATGCTGGAGGTGTGGTTGTTGGCGAAACGTATGAAAAAGTGACTGAAGGAACCTGGACGTGAGGGCTGAGCTCTAGTGCTGCGTGTGAATCTCCATCCCACTAGCTGAGCTCTGATGTTTCTTATCTGTAAAATGCAGGTATTGAGGCTACATGTAGAGATTTTGAAGGAATACGTGTGCTTCATATAGCTGGACTATAGGAAGAAGAACCATTAACAACCTGCAATATGCAGATGACACGACTTTGCTTGCTGAAAGTGACGATGACTTGAAGCACTTACTGAAGAAGACCAAAGACTACACTCTTCAGTATGGATTACACCTCAACATAAAGAAAACAAAAATCCTCACAACTGGACCAGTAAGCAACATCACGGTAAATGGGGAAAAGATTGAGGTGGTTAGGGATTTCATTTTACTTGGTGCACAGTCAGCACCCATGGAAGCAGCAGTCAAGAAATCAGACGTCCTGCACCATGTAGATCCACTGCAAAGAACCTCTTTAAAGTATTAAGGAGCAAAGATGTCACTTTGAAGATTAATGTGCACCTAACCCACGCCATGGTATTTTCATTCACCTCATAAGCACGTGAAAGCTAGACAATGAATAAGAAAGACCGAAGAAGAGTTGATGCCTTTAAATTGTGGTATTGGTGAAGAATACTGAAAATACCATGGACTGCCAGGTGAATGAACAAATCTGTCCTGGAGGAAGTGCAGCCAGAACGCTCCTTGGAAGGGGGGATGGCCAGACTTCGTCTTACCTACATGTTGTCAGAAGGGACCGTTCCCTGGAGAAGGATATCATGCTTGGTAAAGTAGAGGATCAGATTAAAAGAGGAAGACCGTCAATAAGATGGATTGACACCGTGGCTGCAGTGATGGGCGCATGTACAGGAAGTATTGTGGGGATGGTGCACGACCAGGTAGTGTTTTGTTCTGTTGTACATGGGGTCACTGTGAGTCAGAGCTGACTGCACCTCACAACAAGAAGTGTACTCATATATGTGAACTCACCCTGGTTTATTCCTGGATAAAAATCCATTTTCTTTTCCTTTTTTCCCTTCCCTTTCTTCCGACAGCCCATTGCTCTCTGAGTGTCAGTGTCCTCAGCTATAAAATGGGGAGCTGTCTCCCAGGGCAGTTGAAAGTCAAAAGAGAAATGGATCTGAAAGGACTTCCTAACAAGAAAGCAGTGAATGGATGTGGCTGCTCTCAGAGTCCTGGACGGGGAGTCATCTTTGCATGCATCCCAAGCCAGCTTCCTGAGTGGTCGTGCTGCCCACGGCCACCGCTGGCCTGTGAGGTCATGATAGTCCACTTCTCCATGATCCTTGGTGTCCTGCAGGTCGGGGCAGCCATTGCCCCTTCTTTCTGCTACCGTCGTGACTTGGGAGCATAAGGCCCAGAGAATGATTGGTGAACGGAGAGCTGGCCGATGAGTTGGAATCCTGGGTACTTGCCCTTCAGAGCTGGAGCTGGAACGCACATACCCTTGAGCTTCCGTGACCCTGCCAGCTTGGTGCTCCTTGTTGTACCTCCTTCCACCCAGCACCCCAGCCAGTATCCAGGCTTTGCTTCGATACCACCTCCTCCATTATGCAGTCCTCCTACCGCTTACCTACCCCTCAAATCCTCTCACCTCCCTCCATCCCCAAGGCCCAGGTGCAGTGTGTGGCCCTCCAAGAGCAGGGGTGTTCCGGTTTCCTAGTGCCGCCCTGACAAGAATAGACCACAAATGGGATGCTTGACAAACAGGAGTTTATTCTCTTACAGTTTGGAGGCTTTAAGTCCCGAGTTCAAAGTGGCAGTCTCTAAGGGCTGGGTGAAAGCCCCTCAACCTTGGGTTTCAGCTCTGCCTCCTGTTCCCGGCCCACTGGAGCTAGAGGCTTTTCTTCACTCAACTGCTGGCTGCTGAGGCTGAGAAGCAATAAGGCCCAGTCCCGATATTAGCAAACCACACGGCAGGCCATTAATTCAAGTCCATTAAAAGTCCCAAGGTCGGCAGAGCATGGCAGGCTGCTGAACAATGACTCAGCTACATGCAGGGGGTAAGAGTGTCATAAGCTAGAGACCATTCCCCAAGGCTTCTCCTTATACAGGAAGCAGACCACATCCCTAAAGCAGCTACTCAGCTGCTTGTGGTAGGTCCCACCATGGAGTTGATTGACAGTCTCACCATGGGAAATAACTACCACCGGCTGTCCAGCCAAGTTACACACAGACATAACCACCACAGTGGGGTTTCATTAGATGTGGAAGGTGTGGGCATGCATCAGGAGCCTGCTGTGAGATGTGTCAATGTGAATGACTATCCCTGGTGCAGAGGGAAAAGCAGGAGGCTTGGGGCTGAGTGCACCTGGGTTTACATTCCAGACCTGCCATTGTTCAGCTGTGAGAAAGGACTAGGGACCATTTTTGTCTCTTGAATCTGTTTGCTCCCCTCTCAGCTCCCCCCCCACACACACACACACATGTGCACACACCTCTCTGAGTGTTGCTCTTCTGTGCTGCAACACCATAATTATCTGCTGACCCATTTCAGCTGACTAGGCTGAGAATCCCCCAAGGCAAGCTCCAAGCCTCTGCTCTCTCCCTAGCCCCTGTCACAGTTCAGTCCATGGGAGTTGGCAAGTGAGTCAGTGAGAATCAATGAGGGGGCAGTGCATGTGGCCACCCTTCTTCACACCTGAGCTGCAAGGACCTCCATGGGATCTCCTGACTTGGCTCCCTGTGAGTCAGGGAAGGTACTTACTCCTGCAGAGAAAGGAGCCTGTTAAGGCCTGGATACATGCTCCATATGCCTGGGGTCACCTCATTATGGGGAGGGTGGAGAGATGAGAGTGATCAAATAAGACGGAAGCTTTGGAACAGAGAGGCTCCTTTCTCTACTTCTCTTCATTTTCCCCAGAGCAGGAAATGAGTTCAGAAGGAGCTTCCCCAGGCTCCAGCTAGAGATGGAACCAGGAAAAGGACCTAGGTCTTCTGCCTCCCAGTCCAGTGCCTGTCTGGATACCTGGTTACAAGTCAGTAGCATGATGGTTGAGAAGGAGGGCTCAGGAAGCAGGTGTCCGGATTCCAGCAGGGCTGCCTGCCAGCTGCACGACTGGAGTAAGGCACTGCACCTCTCAGAGCCATGGTTGCCTCAACTGTAAAATGAGAGGACAATACCACCTTGTGGGGATGCGAGGTTCACACGTGTGAACGTGGGTAAAGAACCGAGCCTGCTGCCTGGAACTTTGCAACCTCTCCATACATGTTAGCTGGTACGATGGATCTGGAAGATGG